CTCGTTTCACTCCCTACTCTTAGAATTCATACTGTTTTTGACAATATCAGACATTTCGGATGGTTTTTCAAGCAGTTTTCTAATAGTTTTGAAAGACTCATTATCGTGTAAATTTGAATACAAGAATTGATACGTACTTTAGTAATATCAGTTTATAGAGGATCTGTTTCAGGTTAAAATGTGACGTCTACGAAGAGCCGTATAATCCGTACCGTTTATTGAAGTTATGCTTTTGCGGATAAAGGTTTTGACCAAACAGTTTTTACAGAAACTTTTTGATGGAAGATACCAAACCAACTTGCATATATACCTAACTGCTGGAAAGAGCACATACAGAAACGTCTGCAATACAGAAATATATGAAGTAGCTTTTGAAAAAGATGTTTGTTGATTAAAATTTCTTGTTTTCTTCATAGAATCTTACATTTCAACTACAAACTTGCTAGCAAAAATCTTTCTATAAGACCCAAGTATTTGCAGAGCTAGTGACATCTTTTTTATCTGTGGTAAATAAAAGTCTTCTTTTTCGTGATTCCGTCAAGAACACCATCTCGTTTATAACAGTCAATATACTGAACCAAATTAGACAAAATTTTCAGAGATCCATGAAGCCATTACTCTGCATTTGCGATACAAGTTTTGTGCTAGCACGTTTCCTGCTTATGAAGAAAAATGGAGAAGATTGAGAAAATGCATGATTCAGCCACGCTTGATCCGACAGTGATATATTAACGAAAGTAAAAGAAGATAAAGTTTGAACCAAATTTTGAAAATTCTAACTACTTGCTTTGATCCTCACTAGTTGCTTTTAAGTGGCCGGAAAATGAGCAAACATTTTGTGCTAAGCTTTTCGCGCTATACGTTACTGATGACAAAAGACTTGTTGAAGACAAAACTTGTTTTTTGATTTAGTAATAGGCATGAAGACTTTGTTCTGATGATACCGAGCCCCTACAACGAGATGTGTGTAAGAATTCTATGTCGTTTGTGCAATTTCTTTCATCAGTTTTTCGTACCCAAGTCAAATAATCCTACCGTAGGATCGATCCTACAAGATTCTTACAAAGTCTTACAAGAACCTATACGATCCTATAGAATCCTACCAAATTCACACAGGATCTTGTAGAAAAGACGTAAGACTTCTTTGGTCTTGGATTTATCCTACACTTTCCTATCGCAGGATCCTATCAGATAGGATAGAATTCTACATACGTAATCACAGGATCTTAATGGAACCTTGGAATAGTCGAAACCAAAATATTTAGTCTTAAATCAGCCGTTTATTTACTGCTATAGCGATAATAATTATTTTTTGTCTTAATTAGATTCTTTCTCAGTTTCTGAATCAAGGCTGGAATGAACCCAAGAACAGCTCCACGTTGATGCTCACACTGTTCAGTGCGAAAATTTGAGTTTATTCAACTTGACTGTTTATTTTTTGGGTGAGTCTACTGATACCACTACGAGGTGTCAACAAGGGCTATTGATACCACCAGGGGTGTCAGCAAGAGCTATTGATACCACCAGGGGTGTCAGCAAGAGCTATTGACACCACTAAGAGGTGTCACCAAGGACTATTAACACCACCGAAGGGTGTTACCAAGAGCTATTGACACCTACTGAAGGTGTCAGCAATGGCTATTGACACCACCATCAGAGGTGTTACGAAGGGCTATTGACACCTACCGAAGGTGTCAACAGTGGCTATTGACACCATCAAAGGGTGTCAGCAAGAGCTCACCTACTGGAGATGTTTCTGATTCTAGCTTATTTGTTTTTCTCTCGATGCGGTTTCATGTTTTTACACAGAATTCACAGACAATTTAGAGTTTGAGAAAGTTCATAGCTAGGCAAACAGCTGGACTTTTTCCTTTCCTTTTCGGGTATCTTTCTGTGTTATATATGTACAGGCAGAAACAAAAAAATGTGCGCTTTCTATATATTTCTTCTCTGATTAAAGAATAGAGAAAATGCCAGAAAGTTCTCTGTCTTTTAAGAAATCTGTGTAAATGCGCATGAAACGTTTAAAGACTCTGAAACAAAGAAATTAGCCCTAAAGTAAACAAAAAAAATAAACACGCAAAAAGTCGTTATATAGTAGGTGATACCGAGAGTACGTTTTGCCTGAGCATAGAATTACAGAACAAACGCTATTTCGTTCGTTTGATCAAAAGGAAATAAAAATAGTAACGAAAAATTCTCAAGAAGGTTCTCAGCGATCAGCGTCTAAAAAATTAAGAGAATAGGAGGTAGAGCGAACTCATAGTGAGAATTGTCGAATGCAAGTAAACAAACTAGCACTAAAATTAGGTCTCAGACTTTCAAAAAACGCAGATGTGTATTTCTTTTTTTGACATACAACATACAAACTCTGCAAACAAGTGTTTATTAATCTGCAGATTCCATATTCTTATTGTTATTTTGGGACAAGGTAAACTGTGAAAGTCGGCCGTGGAAACTGTAGAAGTCGGAGTAGATGCTTCAGATCTGTCGCTACTTCGAGCGTTAGTTATTAACTTTGTGGGCGTAATTCAAAAATAAAACAGCGAAACAACAGCAATCGCTTTGATAGTAGTAGCGTAGTTACTCTATATATAGTGCGTACTTGCGATCCTCTGACAACGACAAGAAAGAATTTAGATAATTAATCGTACACTTTTGGCACTGTCCTGTAAATTGAATACCTTTAATAGTAAAAAGGCTGTTCTTTAATATTCGGTGCAACTATAATCCATTCAAGAATGGTTCAGCTTCAGTCTGCACACTAAGCCTTAGAGGTGTCAATAGCCATTGTTGACACCTCTGAGTTCTAATATGTAGACTGTGCGACAAGTGTATCTCATATAATGACATGAATGCACTTCAGATATAGGTGAACTTCGGTGAAATTCATTGGATGAAACTTTAAAATTCATGCTGAAAGGCTAAAAGGACTCATTTGATAAAGAGGATTTCTTTGGCCACGAAACAGTTACACAGATATTCAATGATGTCACCAGTCTACATGAATATTTAACCAACGTAGCATAAGGATTATTGAAGTTTCATCCAATGAATTTCACCGAAGTTCACCTATATCTAAAGTGCATTGATGTCATTATATGAAATACACTTCTCGCACAGTCTACATACTATTTGGAGGTGTCAATAGCCCTTGCTGACACCTCCAGTAGGTGTCAATACTTCTTCGGGACACTCTTCGGTGGTGTCCATAGTCCTTGGTGACACCTCTTAGTGGTGTCAATAGCTCTTGCTGGCATCTCTTAGTGATGTCAATAGTCATTCCGTTATTTTTTTCAATCGATTTCGTATTAATAGTTCTTTCTGTGAGAAACAATTCCGTGAATAGATGCACAAAAAATGACAGAACAGAGAAAAGGAGAAATTCTATGAGATCCCAGCGTACAATTTCATAGGATTTTATAGGAATCTTATAATAAGAATCCTGGTAGAATTTTCACTATGATCCTATGGTAGTATTCGTATAAGATCCCATGATAGAATTTTCATAGGAAATTTACAAGATTTCTATAGTAATCTTATGATATCCTATCGTTTGTAGGATTCATTGACCTGGACAGTCGCACTGTAACTGAGATAAAAATGTATTTTCACAAGAACAAATCAAGGGAAGAACATATTTTTTATCTAAGCTCCAACTGAATTGAGAAAGAATAATATATGACAGAATGACACCACTGAACTACACAAGGAGAACAAACCTCATTATAATGGTGCAGAATGAGAGAACAGGCGTATAGGTTTTGAATAAACATAATAAAAATGCATGATAGATAACTAATTATTATTATAATAAATAATTATTCCTGATGTTAGTTTTATGTGGAAAATTTGTTCAAAGATATAGTTTTATAGAGAATTCTTTGAACTACATTTTAAAGAAAGCATTATTGAAATATTTTGTTTCTCTGATTTAAAGTTTTAGTTTTGTTTTAAACAAAAATAATATGGAGTATTTTAATACTAACTATCACTTCAAAAGTTTTAAAATTAAAATTTTAAGTGTTTTCTGAGAGGTTTTGTAGATACTTCGGAGGATTTACACTTCATTTTAGCGTTTTTCAAGCCTTTTAGCTCATCAAGCTTTTAGTTTCATAAACTTTTCTCTCATTTTCTGTACATTCAAAATTTTTCTTACACATAGTCTGACAGAAGAAAGTGTTTTCTTTACTATGAGACGTTTTACAGAATTTTCCGATGAGTTTTCGCGAAGATATAAGCATCGCGGCAAATGCTCTGAAAAACGTGACCTATATCTAAAATACGTTTTTTCTCGAAAACTATTTTTTTACTACTAGGCTTCATTGTACCACATTATGACCTCCTTAAGTTTCATCCGATCGCGTTCAAAATTTTACCACAGGTACGCAAGACACTATTGCAGAGGTATTTGTTTGGAATTTTATTTTAGACTTTTCTTTACCGACTTACAGGGTTTCTAAAATTGCAAAACTTGGTTTTTGATACGTTTTTCAGTATTTTTCCTATAACTCGGTAAAGAAAGGTCTAAAATAAAATTCCAAAATTATTCCGCTGCAATATGATATTGAGTACCTCGGGTAAAATTTTTAGCTCCATCGGATGAAATTTAAGGGGGGATCGTAATGTGGCACAAAATGCAAAACCGAGTTTTCTGGAAAACTGGTGAATAGCAATAGTTAAAAACTTGAAATAAAACAAAAAGTGCTCCATTGAGTTTCCAATTAGTTCTGAAAATATGAAGTCTTAGTGACTTTTAGTTTTTATTTCATAGCATTTCTACGGAAAGCCCAAAATGAGGGGATGGATACTCTTAAATATATGTGCTTTTAGGACGGTAGAAGAATTTATCACAAAAAACTTAATTGAGATGTGTGGTGGTAAGGGCGTGGAAGATGTGAGAAAGTCAATGGGTATGAGAGAAGGTGAATAGTCTGCACTGCGAACGAGGTAAGCAACGTTTCTTCCTCATATGGTTTCCAAGACTGCGCTCAAAGCTTTCGAGATATAGTTTTTCAGAAATTAAAATTCAAGGATTGAACTTCTTTTTCTTTTAAAATCAATAATATCATGCGAACTGATATATAAAATAATTATGATAAAGAAAATAGTTATGTTTTTCTCTTTTTTTCATATTATTATTCAACTTTAGAAAGTCACGTTAATATTCGTTTCTTCTTGTTGTTCTTTTATTATTATTCACACCTTTCACATACAAATATCAATTTTTCAAAATTACATGTAAATATCACTGATCGACGTTCTTGTGGGTATTCTTGCAAGATTCTTGTTTCTTGCCATTTCAGACAAGAATTTTCAATTTGGTTTTGATAGATAAGGCAAGATTCTTCTGTTAATTTTTTTATTGATTTTTCATCTGTTTTCGTTAAATATGCTTGTCTGAAATGGCACGCTTCGTTGACGACAAAATCACCAATTTGTTTTGACGATTCTCGTGCTATATATAAGTTATATAATATAATTCAATACTATACATATAAATGTCTTTAAAAAGTCTTTTCAATCTCACAATGTTCTTGTTGAGAGACAATCGAGTCTTTATATGCGCCTGTATTGTGGTCAGAGCCAAAATCCCTTTCTTGTCAATTGAGAGAAGAATCCGTCTCGCGATTCTTGTATGAACTCACAAGAAAGTGATTTCCTGCAAGATTTTTGTGATAAGAATACTTGTAAAATATTTCACAATATTCTTATCTGAAATGTCAAGAAACAAGAATCATCCAAGAATACCCACAAGAACGTCGTCCAGTGATATATAGTTAAGATAAAATTTCAATGAAAAACTATAAAACTTTTGTACTATTTCTCAGTGCAAAATAAAAATAAATACACAAGCATCTTCCCTTTCTTCTTGTCGATTAGAAAATAAACTCAAATATTTTTCTTTTAATTGGATATTCGCCTTAACGAATGAGAAGGTGTTATATAAGGAGATGCTCTTACATAAGCAATCAAGTCACATTTCTCCTTCTAAAGTACTACATTTCATCATCTTGTTTTACCACCTTATTTCATCATCTTATTTTATCACCTTATTTCATCATCTTCTGTCTTGTTTTCAAAACTAGAAATACGTTTATTTTCTAGTTAGATGGTCAGATTGTAAAGATTATCTTTTTTGTGTTTTAAGCATCTGATTTAAACCACTTCAAATCTGGTGACACACAAACATGCAATATCAGGTGACAGCAAGACCTCATACGAACAGGAAATAGTGTCATGCTGAGCCTCGTTGTTTTTAGAATAACTTTTGAAAATCTAAGTTAACTTTAATAATTAAGATTAAACGAGCTATAATTTTGAGTAATACAGAAAGTATTGTAACAGCAGAAAATATACACAACTAATTTTTGATCAGATAAACGAAAAGAATCAAATAAATTTACTTTGCAGAAAAACTTAAACTGTATATACGTACAGACTTTCTCAGAATAGCGAACAAAGCCTGTACGTATATACAGTTTAATGTAATATACACTGAAAAAAGGTTAGGTGCATGTAATTGCACAATTTCAATCGTTGTCTAGTATACAGAAGAGAAAGAATGGATTTACTTTTGCAGTTTTTCTGCAAAAGTAAATTTATTTGATTCTTTTTTTTATCTGATCAAAAATTAGTTGTGTATATCTTCTGCCGTTACAATACTTTCTGTAATAAGTTTGTTTTATCTTGATTTATATTGACTTTGATGAATAATAAAGATAACATTCTGCACGTTTTGCATTTACTCATCCATGAAATTCTCTATTCCTATTTTTATTTTAGCGAAAAAGATAATTTTTCTCTAGTATTCGGTGCACCGATCCCATGCTACCTCAAAACAATATCAGCAATTATCTCTAATACTATTGTTCGTTATTCAAAAATACAATTCGATATGGAACTATTGCTACAACAGTTAAATGAATACAAGAACAATATATATTCACTTGCCAATCACTATCATTTACATATCGGTTATCATTCTAATTTGCCATTACTTGTGTTAAATTATCATGTGGTGGCTTCACCTAAAGACCATCCTGTAGTGAATATTTGTCGTGGTTTAGTTCTAGAATATAAGAAGATAGATGAAACTGATTTACAGTTTATTTCTATTGTTGCGAAAGGCTTTAATAGATTCTTTTATTATTCTGAACATACTCAAATCATTAATAGTACAGTAGAAACAATACAAGCATATGACAAAGTTGATGGAACATATATGCTTTTATTTTACTTCAATGGCCAATGGATAATGTGCACCCGGCATAATTTCTCGGAAGATTATGTAGTACCGAATGAAGTGACCTATGAGCAACTGTTCGTTAAAACGTCGGGATTTTCCAATATGGATGATTTCCAGAAGTTCTGCAATGCATACTGTGATATTCACACAACATATCTGTTTGAATTATGCAGCATGCTTAATCGAATAATAACACCCTATGAAACGCCAAAACTTTATTTATTAGGATTTATTAAGTATGAAAATAATGAATGGAAAGAGAATTATAAAAATGTTGATGAAGTCATGAGTATGGTAAACAAATTACAATGTAATGGTTTGAAAATATCATCAGTTCCTCATCGTCTATTTGATAATTGGAAAAGTTTAAATATTGAAATGAATCATTTGACCATAAACGATCCCTTGTTCGAAGGTTTTGTCTGTTACACAAATAATATTGAACGCTTTAAATTTAAAAATCCTATTTATCAATTATTTCATCGACTGAAGTACCGTGGTTGGCATACAGCAAATGCAGCCATTTTATTACCGTGGTTAACTCATTTAGATACATTTCTACCATTAATACCTGTGCCTCAATATGAATTAGAATATATTAGTCAAATTATTCAGGATTTAAAAAGTAACCTTGAAATTGGATATAATTCACTGGCAAATACTTGGTCAAAATATGAAGAATCAAATGATTCACATTCACTTTTTCATGATCACCCTCTAAAAGCTCTACTATATACAAAATTAAAGTTTCCAGAATTAGAATTGAAAGATATTTGGAATAATCCTAAGTTCGATAAACTCAAATTAAACTACATCACGGGTTTACAATCATCATCAAAAGATTATTGTAAATTAAACCTACTGGACTTCAAACAACCACACAACAATGATACCAATGGTCTGGCAGAAATTCATCCAATAATAGATGAAAAAAGTAACAAATTTATAGTTCATTGCTATTGCAGCCATAAAATGAACTACATACGATTGAAAAGAAATCGTACTATTCCTAAGGCATGTTTCTGCGGTCATTTAACGGGACTAACTAAGACCTATTTTATAGGTACTAAGCTATGGGTATGTGAGAATGAGAAATATTGTCCTGGAACCATGGAGAGCCGACCAGATGGTTCTCCATTGGGTATTCCCGCATCACCGTTCTGTAAGCAGTTAAGATTAATGAGTCATGAATTAATCAATCGTCTGATAAACCAAAATCTGTGGAGTTATAACAAAATTAATCTCGAGTTGGGAAGCCTGTTGAAGTTATCGCCACAAAATATGCATATGGCACAATTGGGAATTAGTGAATGTTTAAGATGTATACAACATTTACAAAGTCTGACAGAAGGAGTTACTGTTTAATATAACGACTGGGGCAGAAGAAATCGACCTCTTTGTATTTTTTTCTCGCGTTCCTCAAAGCCCTGAAACTGATTTTATTTCAAAAGATAGCCCATTTAATTCGCTACAGAAAAATATATTAATTATTTTATCTCTATATGTGGGAACAAGACGTGAAATGAATAACTCTGCAAAGCTATAAGAGTGAACATGCATAAACTCATTTTATTAAGAAATTTCGTTGCTACTCACGGACAAATCTTTTAAATAAAGCCGCGGTTAACCGCGCTATAAGAATCAGCGACTTTTACTGGTTTAAATACACCGCGGGAGTCAGACCGTTTATTAGGTTTTTGCACACCGGCCAAAGTCGCGGTTTTTCATACCGCGGTTGCGACTTTGTTTTATAAAAACGATTTTCTTGATGTTATCGCCGGTATGTGTTCGTTTTCCGTCCTTCTCTCTTTCTTCATTCTAGATTTGTTTCTATAGCTCTGACCGCGGTTGCCCTTGTTCTTACCACTGCATCCATACACCGCGATTGTTGCTCTGCGGTGATTCTGTAACGCGGTTAGCCTGCCTGAAACCACTAGTCTTTCATATGCGTTGTATGAGATTCAAACTCCTTACCTTGAATTTGCTTGTCCAACATGTTTCCATTTGTTTCCGGTTGTTTATACAATGATCAAAACTAATATTATACCTTACTGATCTAAGTGTTTTAAGTAAGAAACAGATGTGAGAGATGACCAGGGATACCGGATCCAAAGCAAGAAAATCAGAAAGATCTCAGAAAAAGAAATTCAGAATCAGAAAATCAATACACCTTTGAGGAAAAAAGCGCAGAAATGAGGCAGACAAAGTTCCAAAAATCTGGAATCCCTGGCAATTACTATTCTGGCGACAAACCTCATACGACATCTTCATGGCGACAAAAAATAGATAAAAATACGGTTCCGGTACCGCGGCTTCCTGATAAAAACCGCCCTGTCCAGTCAGATGGAGAACGTGGCATCATCGAGCCGTAGTTTTATCGACGGAAACCTCGGTCTCGACAACATTGAAAAGCGTGGTGTAGATAAACCAAAGTTGAAGATAAACATCTTGGTTTAAAGAATCGGTACCCTGAGCAATATTTACAGATCGAGTTTCCCGAGGTATATAAAACCGTAAAATTTGATGCAAAAATTACTGAATAATTACTTACCTGTAATCAAAATGCGAAGAACAGTATCTGAATGAGCGAATAGAAAATGGTTGGAATCAATTTTCTTAACTTTCTGCTAATTATTAATCAATTATAATTCAATGAAAATTATACCGTGCGACAGTCTAAACGTTCCTCTAAACGTTCTGTAAGTTTAATATTGATCTAAGAAATTTTGAGTAATCATATTCCTCAAAATTCATACTATAAAATCATAGCCGATTCATGGCTACATTCGAAATTCATCAAAGAGTACATTGATGCGTCGACCCTACTTGAATTATCTTGTTTATTCTAATCATTATCTGTGTGTCGTATGTACTGACAGTCAGATCCTATTTGAAAGAATTACAGTAGATGCCAACTGGCCGGATTGGCTGACTGTTAATTGTATTGGAGAGTCACTAGTTGTTTTTGCTGAAAACAACGCGAAGTATTTTGAATGTTGGAATTTTAAAGATAACGTGCTCGTCAAGCGTGTTGATTTACGCGCAACAGCTAAAATAATATTAGTATCAGAAAGTTGGAATTTCATCCGTTTTCAGGTAAAATCATTGTTGCATATTTAACCGATGGATCAATTCATATTTATGCTTTTAATAAAAATGTACTATTACGTGATTGGGGTCATGTATCCGTTGACAAAGACCTTGATTTACTGTCTCTAATGCCACTTTGTTTAGTTTGTACATTTCACTGTAAGCCAAACACATCCGAACAACCATGTCTAATGCTCATTGAATTAACAAAGATACTATTGTTAACAGCAGAATTCGAAGAAGGATCACTAAATGATAAAACTGAACTCGAACCACCGGTGCGTTTTGATGATCAAGAGTGGTTATGAGTATCGATAGTACGATTTGAGCCACGCCTACTCACTCCGATAACGCATATCGTACACTTAACCAGAGACTTGATAACATTTGACGACGAAATACCCACACAGTCTGGTATCCCATTCATTGTCATGGTTGCTACTCCCAACAGCTTATACCTTATTCACATATGTCACGGGGAAAAATTATCATACTTTAAGTTGTGTGGAAAGTTCGACACATTTATCGTAAACCAATTTCAGTCGTTTTCAATTTTTGTAGTGGACGGAGGGATCGTGAGAAAATACCGGTGGCAATGCACTTCTATTGACGAAGCATCGAGTCATATCTGTCATTGCCATAATACTAAAATTTAGATAAGTGGCTTTAATATCACTTCAATCAAACTGCATAGTGGTGAGTAGAGATATCCACGCTGAAACACTTTTAGTCTCTGTCCCGTTGATCCCGTAACAATAAAATTTTCGGTCCTTGTTCTCTCCACAAACATGCCCTCAAATTTGGTCAGTTTGTAGAGAACGCCTTCGATGGTATGTCTATGCAATAAAAAACTCGCTGATCAAGTGTTGACAGAGTTATTAATTAATTAAGTTCAAGATTAATTGAAATTTTTCCATGCATCTTTTAAAACCTTTCTAGTTTTCGATATAAATGTTACATTCAATTGATTGTAATGTAGTTTTATAGAGAATTGTTTGTAGATATAATTCCATACAAAAAAGGTTTAAAAACGATATCTCAGAACTTTTCGAGCTCTATCGACTGTCTGCGCCACTTTTTTAAATTTATGCCCTATTTGTCTGAAAAATTAGTTTTAAATCACTTTTGGAGTAAAAAACTGCCTAATTCTTATTTTTCTCCACCAGAACTCAAGTTCTATGTAATAAAAATATCATATTCGGAATCAGGATCGAAAACTGAGTCGATTGATGTGTATTTCTATCTTATACGAGCACTTTTATGTTTTTCGAATTTTCACGTTGAAAAACCATACAGATTTCCACCAAAAAATAAAAGTGAAGTAACAATTTCGAAATACACATCGATCGACTCAGTTTTCGATCCTGATTCCGAATATGATATTTTTATTACATAGAACTTGAGTTCTGGTGGAGAAAAATAAGAATTAGGCAGTTTTTTTACTCCAAAAATGATTTAAAACTAATTTTTCGGACAAATAAGGCAAAGAATTTAAAAAAGTGGTTTGGATAATCGATAGAGCTCGAAAAGTTCTATCGAATGATATATCGCATGATTTTCTTCCATTTGTTCTGACATTAGAAAAATTTTACTTTGTCCACTGGAGCGCCTCTAAGTAGTGCTAACCAAAACTAATCAGTAATTAAAAAACGGTCAGAGATATCGTTTTTAAACCTTTTTTGTATGGAATTATATCTACAAACAATTCTCTATAAAACTACATTACAATCAATTGAATGTAACATTTATATCGAAAACTAGAAAGGTTTTAAAAGATGCATGGAAAAATTTCAATTAATCTTGAACTTAATTAATTAATAACTCTGTCAACACTTGATCAGCGAGTTTTTTATTGCATAGACATACCATCGAAGGCGTTCTCTACAAACTGACCAAATTTGAGGGCATGTTTGGGGAGAGGACAGGATTCTCTAGACAAAGACAGTGTTTTTACGCTAGTGATATCCGCAGCGACTACAGTTATCCATACCTATCGAAACTGCTTTATTGTTTTATGTGATGATGGTTGCATCTTTCATATATCATATAATAGTTCAAACAATGTCCAGTTCTCTTCCGTCCTTTTTAATTTACCTTTTGCTTCAAAACACTCATTTAGTCACTGATAACAATAAAGTCTGACGATTATTTAGCCATTTTCAATGATAGTTGTTCAGAACTGGTTACATTAAATCTGGATATCAAACCAATCGATGTTGCAAAAATCAGCTTTTCTGTGCGGCTTCGGAATACATTAATTCGGCTTGATGCAAATTAAAAATGAGTTCTCGGTAGCCAACAAGTGTCTGAATAATAACTGCTGGCGTTCGCTGACCAGAAACATTTCTTCTTTTGCACTTAAATAATTTAACGTATCGTCAACCCTATGAGTGTGACGCCGGACCCATTACGCAGCGTGTTTCGTGTAATATGATATGGTAAAAACAAAGCAAAGGATAGAAAATAAATCAAAGAACGTCTTTTCGAGCATAAAACATGAGAATTAGTATTCTGCCGCAACCCACTTCATATTATGCTTTTTATCAGGTTCTTTATGTTAACTTAAAGCATATTCCTATAAGTATAACTAGACTTTTAGATTTCTTAGACTTCTAGCCTTTTCAATTGATTGATTGATTGATTGATTTATATTTTAGTAGCCCCAAGTAGATGGTAGATAGTGAAAAAAAGGAACACAAATATACATTTATTGCATAAACAAAAATACGCTACTGGGGAGGCAAAAAAGTTCTGAGAACCTATAAACTTTGCCACCTTATTTTAAAACGATTAAAGCTCAAGATAGTTCTTCAGCTTTGTTTTAAACGATTTTATTGTGGGTGATGTAACAACAGCTTCGGAAAGGGTTAAATTCCAGTCTCGGGCTGTTTGGCAGATAAATGATTGTAGAACGGTTTCTGTTCTAGCAAAGGGAATTTCAACTATTCTCGAATGATTAAGACAGCTTGATCTTCTAGATTGGTCGTATTGGATAAGGTTCAGTCTAGATAGAGGAGAGAGGCCGTTAAGGATTTTGTAAAAGTGTATAAAACGAAAGTATTTTCGTCTTACTTCAAGTAGAGGCAGATTCAATCTTCTAACTAAATTCTTACCGGGAGTGGAAAAGTTTCGAGTGACCATATGGGCTGCTAGATGTTGGACGAACTCGAGACGAGACACCTGAGTGGTGAAAGCGGTGTCATACAAGGCACAGGCATAATCCAGCTTACTCCGGATACAATTCCTATAGATTTGAAGACAGATATGAGCGGGTACTTGTTTAAACTGTCTGTACATAGCGCCAAGGCGTTGCCGACAGGTTCGCACAAGTTTTACTGTATGATTTCGCCATCTCAGTTTACAGCTTATTTCGAGCCCTAGTAGAATAAGGCTTTCCTCGCGCTTTATGTTAGAGCTATCCGGTAAGGTAAATTTGACTACGGTGTACTATTCGAGGCAAAAACCGAAAGCTTAGCGTTCCCGGACCACACTGTGAAAAACAGGATTTTCGCCAAATTGGTTTTCTATATAGTTGTAGTTAGTGGGGAATGAAACAAACATCGCTACGATGATCAGTGGGGTCGCTTAACTACGATCCACGGAACGAGATAGATGTGTCATAGAAAAACATCTGTATCTCCGAACCCAAAGCAGATCGATACCTGGGCGTTGCGTATTTTTGAAGAGAAATGTTTTGACCATCGATTGGTAATATTTGAGATTGTATTTCATAGTGTGGTTTGGGAACGATAAGCTTTCAGATTTTGTCTCGAATGTTACACCATATTAACCTGATCAGCAGCCTAATGTTTTATAGGTTTACGTCCTGAAACTACACAAAATATACTGAAACAGTGTTTTAATGCTTGTGAAACGAAAAAATTTCGCTCCAAAGTGGTCTAGTTTCAGAATCTGGAAAGCGCAGTCTACCGCCTTTCGTTCAAAAATTATTCAAAAACATCGAACTGCATTATATTTTGGTACAGATAATAGCTACACAGCGCGGCAGCTAACTCTATTATCTTAAAGAATTCCGTAACGTTTTTTTTGTCGTTTTGCTTGTTTATAAATCGTAAACCAAACGACGCAGACAGTTGCGATGCATCATAAATTGAAGAAAAACCTGCTGTGAACATTTTAAAACGCGTCTCAGCTCTGTAACATGACTCGTTTTAAAGATCTGACAGAAATATTGGCAACTATTTTTCGATTCTGCAAAGTTTAAATGTGTGAAAAGTAGTTGCCAATATTTCTGGCCATGCCGTACAGCTAGATACAGTGGGTAATTTTGACTAGACATGTGGACATTTGCTCTAAAGCAGTGCGGGAGCCTATAAACATTCTTCGTATACGTTTTCACCTGTGCTCTTCTCAATTTAGAAAACTCAAAACTGCTTTCATCTGGCAGTGTGGAGACATATCCCGATCGGGATGTACTCCCAATCGAGATATATATCCCAACTGGGATATCATTTTTTGCAGCAAAATTTTTTTATACCCCGAACGGGATATAGTTTGAAATTATATCCCGATCAGGATATAATTCGATATCCCGATTGGGATATCAAGAAAATCTATACTCCAATCAGGATATCAAGAATTTTAATTTTTAATTTGTAAGAAAATGATAAATTTTAATTATATGAGAGCTGAATATTCTCCTCCTTCTTCTTTATTTACCCTCTCTAATGTTCCTAGTGGTGTCTTTTGTTTTCTCCAGTTGATCGAAGAGACACATATATCTTTTTAACAGACGTAAATAGCTTTCTTCTATTAGACATCTTTCATATGTGAGAGCAGTATAGCCATAAAAGATAGAAGACAAAGTCGTTACTACGCACACTTTCATCTACCATACATTTGGAAAGCGATTAGATCAAGAGTATATCCCATTATGAGCAATAAAAGATTAGTAGGCTATATCCAGATCAGAATATAAATTCGACTAAAATTTGTTAAAAATTTGTATTCGAAAAAATAGTTGTTGGGCGTTTGATACACTTTTGATCAAACACAACAGAATCTGATGTAGTTTTTCGAGCTCTTTCTAATGGTGACGTCAATTTTACTCCAAAATGTCGTCATTTTCCCCTTAATCGTTTTTACGGCGAAATTTCGTGTTTTATATCCTGATCGGGATATTACTTTTTTTCTATATTCCGATCAGGATATAGGAGGCGTCCCCTTACTGTCTGGATTTGCTCGAAAATTGATTTTAGCATCGTGCTCAAAAATTTAACAGCATTTTTTTCAAATAATGAATTTAATTCTTAGCCAAATAACGACAGTAAGCCGAAAAAACTTTAGG